GATTTTTGTAATATGCTTTCTATATCCTTTTAAATTCTGTAAAATCTGTGGTAATGTTCTTTAAATTTTGATATTGTAATTTAAAAATGTACAATTGATATTGTGTAATAGGAAGAAAAGGTCTAAAGGAGTAGGGGAATTGGGAGGGGTAGGGGAAAGGAAAGAAGAGAAAAGGAAAAATATGAGAAAGGGAGAAAAAATGGAAACAAAGTCTTTGCAAATAGAGAAGGGTGGAGGGGGAGAAGAGAGGGCAAGGGAAGGGGAAAAAAATAAGAACCAAGATACATCATGTAATGGTACAAGATCTCAATGATGAATGTAACTGTATTTTATACCTAAAATGTATCCATAAGCTTAATAGGAAAAAGCTTGTGTTATATTTATTTATGTTATAGATGTGTCATTACACTTTGAGATGCTCAGAAGCTGAGTGGTGCAGACAATGTTACATGCTTCTTCAATGACTTTATATTAAAGGGCAACAAATTAGGTAAGAGGTTCTTTGTGTACTAGATAAAGATGACTGACAAAAAAGCTATTCTATACTAAGAGATGTAAATGTGTTTCAAAGATAATATTATAACTGTCATGCTAAACTACTGTTTTACCTATAAACTTTGTAATTGTTATGTTAATATTCTACAAAGATTGAACCCCTAAAACAACCATAACTGATAAAAATAACAGTCCACTGGCTATATTGTATATTTCAAAGTGTTTGATATCCAGATGAAATTATAATAGTTAAACTCACTGCTCCCATTGCAATACTAATGTAACTGATCTTAACAACTAAAGTTTAGAGATCAGAGCAAAAAAGTTAACTGGGGTAAGGGAACAGGTAATATTTTGGCTCTGGCCCTCCAAGATCAAGGAGGACTCAGGATATGAGAGAACCTTTTCTACAGGATCCTCCAACTTTGATTAGTCACCTAACATTCTGAGCAGGGAGATTGAGGGACCCCAGGGGACAAGAATAAACAAATGCACAGTGTGAAAAAGGAAGGTCACCTGATAGAGAAAAATCTCCCATGCTTTCATACAAAGCAACATGGTCAAGGAAGTTTGTGACCCATCCTGAGCTGTCACTGAGAGAGGAGCTGAGAAGTTCTGTAAATGAATCGAAAAGAAATGCCTTCTTTCCTTTCCCCTACTCCGTCTACTTCCTCTTCCCCTTTAGACCTTTTCTTCCTGTTTCACATTATAAAACTGAAAAAAATATGAGCAAAGGAAAAATGGCAACAAAGTCTTTGTAAATAGAAAGGGGTGGAGGGGTTATAAAGGGAGGGCAGGAGAATGGGGAAAAATAAGAACCCAGATATATCATGTAAAGGTACAAGCTCCCAATGATGAATGTCATCATTGTATTGTATACCTAAAATGTACCAATAAACTTAATGAAGACAAAAAAAGTAATGCCTGAGATTTACTGACCTTAATAGACAGCAAAAGATTACATTTGATTAGTACAGGTTTCATTTTAATTTAGTCTTAAACACCCAACAGAAAAGTATAACCAAAGGAGGTGTAAAAACAATACCATAGTACTATAAGACTAAAATGATGAGACATGAAACAGTTCAGTGCTTCACAGCTTAGTCCGCCATTACAAAGTAATGGAGTGGCCTTAATAATCCTGGACATAATTAAATATTTTGTAAAAACACCATAAAATCCTCTCTACAGGCACTAATCAAACACCTATTAAGTAAGAGTAAAGGTCCTATCACAAGAGCCAACAATCATAGACATGAAGATGGCTTATTTCAGATATGGGATGATTATATATGCTTAATTTCAACTATAGGACAACTTAGTAGAAAGGCTCCCTTATGTTGGGAACAAAGAAATCACTCCTATTCTCATTGGCCTGACTCTACTAAATACTTGGGATGGACATCCTCGGAGCAATGTATACACACCAGAACTTTACAGACTTGTTTAGACACCCTAGAATTAGATAAGAAGCCCCCAGTGTAACTCAATTCGTGGCCCTGGTTACCCCCTGGATGGATAGGGAGATGCACACTGGGATTTGCATGGTTACAAGACAGAAGTGTAAAAACTATTGAAAAACCTATGAATTACCTCATCTAAAACAGTAATGGTCTAGAAGTGTGTTTCACTGGTACAATCATTTGGTTTCTATTTTGTCCCTTCATTAAAATTAGAGGATGTCATGCAAAACATCAAGGCTTTGACTAACTATACTTCACAGGCCTTAAACAACACCTGAACTGGTCTCTCTCTCTTAAATGAAAAAGTAAAATAAATGATGCAAGCCATCCTTCAAAATTGGATGGTATTATGAATCCTGACAGTAGTACAAGGGAGTATTTGTGCAATTGTAAAAGCTGAATGTTCTGTGTACATTACTGATACTTCTACTAATATCTGGATGTCTGTTCAAGATATTAAATGACAGGCTAAGGCCATGTCAGATTCTGAGATTTCCTGGATCTTTTCCTTAGCCTGTTTGTTCAAGGCTATTATTGGCTCTTACTAGTGAAAACATTTATTGGTTATATTCATAATAGTCTTATTGATCATATTGTGTAGCCTACATATACTTAACTGTTTCTTTGTCCTTGTTTCCTCCAGACTTAAAGATATACACCTAGCCATGATAAGAATGTCTGACATCTATGGAAAGCCTTTAGATAGAACCTCTGGAGACTATCTCTGACTGCCAATTACAACTACCACCCCTTCAATGTGAAGTAGTCAGAACAGTTATCATCCCTTGCTCCCTCATTGCAGTTCAGGGTACCTCTTCAGACTGGGGAATATTATAGATAGCTAAAGTCAGGTAGAAATAGCATAGTCAGTCAGATAGGGCTAGGCCCTTGAGAGAGTAGGACAAAGGTAGAACACATCACAACCATGGCAGGAGACACATCTGTTGGAGACCAAGCCTCAAGATAAAGATGAAATAATCAGGCCTGCATACTTCCTCAAAAGACAAACACTGGGACTAATAAAGTCTAGATGGACAGCAGTCATCCTGGTGAGTAATCAAACCTTTCATAGAAAATGTCTTCGTTCTTTCCATTCACCCTTGTTATGTGACTTGTTTCCCCTTTAGGTTCCTATTGCCTAAGTGACTATACTTGTAATCTTATTGGTTGATCATAGCTGTAACCCACCTTGTACCCATGTGGCTTTTTCTCTATAAAATTTCCCTGTAAAGTGCGGTTCCTGTCTACCCATTTGGGTGTTCCCCTGTCTCTCAGGAGCTATCCTTTCAATAAATATTTCCTACTCTTAATCTCCATGGTACCTAGAATTCATTCTTCAATTTTTAGAGAACATGAACTCAGCATATCAGATATCTCAGAGGTTGGGAGATATAATATTTTCATATTTCATCTCCTTTATCACTACCACCTTGTTGTACTTTGCTGGTATCATTAAATTATGTCTAATGAATTATTGCCACAATATTTTGACTTTAAAATTTGTGGAAAATATTCTAAACTTGTAAGTACATAACCAATGTTAAAGTATTATTTCATAAAATGTTATATTCTGTGTACATACATTATATATAATGCACATGACATTAACTTATTTATTAAAGCCATTAGCATGTTTATCCAACATTTATGTTCTTATCCTTCTCAATTTGATTTTTTATTAGCTTTTCTGAAGTAAGCCTGATGTAACATTAACAGTATAAGAGAAAAACATATAACTTGATAAATATCAGAGTGGTCCTCTACATTTTCGTTCTGCATTTGCTCTGTAATGCCTTCTTCCTGCTTCTTCTTGGTCCCAGTCTTTCCCAACAAAATTAGTGATGTACATGCAGTCCTTTAGCACTTGACATTGGATAAGAGCTCCAGTTGTTTTGAATAAGATTAAAACAGAGGCCTCTGTTTCTTTGAGTTATAGTATTAAATTATCTGTTATGAACTTGTCACTTAATGCAAGAAAGTAAATGTTTTACAGAAAAATCATAACTATATATGTTTCACTGATCCAAAACAAATTCAAAGAATTTGCATATCTGAAGGGAAATTACCATCACTGAATATTGATTTTCTTTTCCACCTGGATGTGAACCACTTGATCATTCATTTTTCCGTGCTCATTAAGAGCAAAGGACAGATTGTGGCATAGCCATTGCCCACAAACATATGGACACAATGATGAATTGGGCCATTGGTCCACAATATTCCAGAGGCGAAGAAGGTGACACAGTCCAAAAAGTATATGAGCATAAAGAAACTCATGAGCAGCAGAATGGTCCAGGTGGCCCTTTCTTCTGGGGCTGATGTTGGAGGAAGGCTGGTGCTGTGAACATGATGAAACTGCCTCTTATGCCTACATAAGAGAGTCACCATGTATCCACTTGACAGAGCCATCAACCCTATAAAGGAGATATCCTGAATGCTCACCAATGTGAAAAATATGTACCTGAACAAGTAACTAATGGGCCACTGAGAGCAGGACTCAGTGACAAACACAAGACTGTGTGAGGTCACACTGGGGTTGGCACCAATGGAGACTAAGAAAAGACCATTCAGGAGTACATTTAAGATCCATAAAAACACAAGGAAACATGGGTAGTGATGTGAGGATTTTTGTTTGAACTTTGCCAAACAAGAGTTCCTGGGGCTGAGGGTGATGGCCTGGAGGACACCAGCAGGCAGGTGGTACAGATGGAGAGGGCCCTCATCAACCTGTACACATAGATAACTGATTGACACATGAAGTCACTTCCCCAACCCTGGAAACCAAAAGTGTCTGCAGCTATGAAGCCCACAGTTACCAGCATCACCAAGTGGATTAGGGCCAACTGACCAGTAGCCAGGTCAAGGAGCTTGGGCCTGTGCTTGAGAAGAAATGCGAGGATGTGGAACAGAAGCAGGGCAGTGTTGGCTATGATCCCAATGGTGACTTCAAAGAAAACTGTGTTTCTTATGTCTGAAAGACTGGAAATTTTTCTTTTTATTCACCTAGATAGAGGAAGATAATTGTCTGATGATAAAAGGAAGAAAATTCTTTTATCACAAGTATCACCATCATAATCATCTTGGTCAACACTCTGTCTTTGCAGAAGATGTGGATTCCTCCTCATGTTTCCCTCCCACATTCAGAACTCAGATTTACCTCATGCCTTCATGGATGCACCATTGTTCTCCCTGTCCCAGCGCTTCCCAGTGGTGGCTAGATTGGAGCTTTTATTTCTGATTTCCCACAGAAATAAGGAAACTGTCACATAGTATGGAAAATATGTCCTTGATTTTCTCTCACTTTTTAGTTTTCAAAATCAGAGACAATGTCCTTAACTGAAACTTGCAAAGCTTCTATAGAGCAGAAGAGTGATCTTTCTCTAGAGTTAAGTGCTTGATCCAGGAAAGTGCTGCATTCATGAGCACCCACTTATGTTACTAATTTGTATGGAGCATCAGCAAGATGACAGAACATAGGGCCAATCATCCAGCCAGCTCCAAATTTTGTGGACCACGCACAACTATTTTAGTGAAACACACACTAGATATTTTGTCCTGTACTTGTCTGTAGATGATATACAGAAAGGTATAAAACTACTTTTTTACTAATATTTTACTAAAACATACATTCTGGAGAATGTGACACCTGAAAACAGGCTAACAGAAATGGCCTAGGGGTGTGTCCCCTCCTACCCATTGCTCATCCAGCTCACACCTGCCAGGCTCAGCCCAGCTTAGGGGAATGGCGGACAGGACAGCAGCCCCTTCCATCCACAGGATGAGCTAAAAGACTCCCCAAAGACAGTTTGTAGGAGTGACAGTGCTTAGACAACACTTAACTCGCCGAAATCAGCAAACTCAAGGGTCTCATTTCTCACACTGGAGAAAACAAGCTGCCCTTGGTGGAATCTGCCTATCACAGAGGATGGAATGATGGGTAGTGATAGGATTTATGTCCAGAATTTAGCCAGGTTGAAAAAAAATAAATGAATAAATAAATCTCAATAGGAAAGTAACATAGAACAAAGTCTAAAATAGGTCACATTTTGAAGGCCTCATCAAGAAAAAGAAAAGATAGGCCAAAAGGGGAGTTTATAGAAAATGAAATGTAAATGTAGTAAGAAATGTCACAGAGAAACTTCTGTGCTCATTGTGAGGCAATAACCATTGGGAGCTCTTGTAAGTCACAGAGAAAGCTGGGATACACTCTGAGAAATGCAACACAGTTCTAAACCTAGTTAATACTCTGATCATGGAAGGATTTACCACAGACACAGTGTTACCTTGCAATTACTGAGGCCAGGGACAATCCTGTGGTACGTGGTGTCATCAGGGGTTTGGAAACCAGTGTAGAAAGCTCAGGTCAATGCAACCCACCCAAAGGTTAGCAGAGCCTGGAGTACAGTGAGAGGGAGGGGCCTCAGCAGACTCCCAGAAAATGTGGGCACTTATGGCCTTCAAGTTGGACAAATTACAGTGAGCAAAGGGGCTATGTACTTGATTTTTTTACCAGCAAAACGAACATAATTTTCATATTACAGAGGATGATGTGTAATAATAAAATTTATGTCCAACACTTAGCCAGGTTCCTTAATTGCTTGAGAAAACATAACTTGGCTGTCATTCTTGTACTTTAGGGGTCACTTTCAACATCGTGGCCACCAATATTGCCTTGTCTGTAATTTAAGGTGAAATGGAAAAAGGTCCTGTGAGCTGAGATTCTCCATGAGCATGGAGTGGGTTAGTTTTGCAGGAATATTGATCTACATGCTATAATGTTGGCAGAATTTAAGCCAGAAGTCCATAAAAATGAAAGAGTAAAAGAGTAGGCACAAGAAGGAATGCAAAAGCATCATGAGCCAGAGAGATGGTCCCAGCTCATGGCACAGCTCTGGTGAGGTGCATGGCTCTAGGAGAAGGAAGAGAAAACCTGAGGACCATTTTAGTACATGGGTGGCAGCTGTGTACTTTTAAAAAGTGCAGTACCATTACCTTTTTTTGTGAATTTAAAAGATGCTAATATACACATTTTAATGCTCTTTTATCCATAGCTATTTATAGAATTAATGTGTTTATGTCTATTTTTATAAAAATCAGGAGGAGCTAATTACTATTCCAAAGTAACATAAGAAAAAGCAGAAAAATTTCAGAGACATCTCATCACAAATATGAAGCTAGCATCCCTCACTCATAGCCTTGGGTGAGGGTCTCTCATCACCCAAGAAAGAAAGACTGAAAGTCTTGTGGTTTGCAAAATGGCTTTCAGATCCATTTGTCTTCATATCTTTGAATTAGCTTAACAAGAAAGGAGAATAGTTAACATTTATCTGCTGGTAAAAATACTCGACCAGTGTGGGGCGTGTGTAACACACACACACACACACGCACGCACGCACACACATACAGAGATCAGAACAGATAAAAATATTTCATTCTAAATCTTTCCTCTATTGAATGATGTTCTGGCATATCCACTCTGAATGAAAGCAGGAGAAATATTTTTTAAATGAGGAAAAGTAGAGAAATATGCATGAGACATATTTTTCCTCTCAATAAATTCTGGTACATTATATTCTAAGACCTTAACTAGAAACACAGGGAAAATCTCCATCATATTCAATTTGTTGTACTTTTCATGGAATTGGAGTCCAACATTCATTATTATCTGATATGCAATTTCCTAACAGGTAGAGCACACGCCTAAGTGCTGACACCATTTATGTGAAGTCTGTGAAATGAACACTGGGTCAAGAAAGCTGTCTGTGAGAAAATGCTTACTCATATTTTGTAGGAAGGAGGATAAATTCTTTTTCAGAGCCAATGCTTTAAACAAAGACCTCATTGCACACTACATAAAACTGTACTCAAATCTTTTAATCAGTTTATACAGATGCGAGAAGAGAAACTGAGCCAGTATAATGAAAAGCCAAAGGGAAAATTTACATCTTTCACAAGGGGTGTAAGTACAAATATGAAAGCTGCAGACTAAAATGACAATATCTTCCTTGAGAAATGATATAGCAGGTAAACCATTAGTTCAGAGAAATAAACACATGCCTGAAGTTAATTTAGTACTTCTTATGAAAAATATTTTATGAGCCACAAATTAAAAGCTAACAGCTACAGAAACTGAGTCTACAGAAACCTCAGGCAAAGCCCACTGGCCTCTTTCCATGGCCTGTCTTGGACTCTGCTCACC